AGATGACTTTCCAGTAGAAGGAAAGGCACTAGAACTACCCAGTAGGGAATTCAAATCTCTAATATTCAGAGCTATCAAAGAGTTGAAGCAAAAAGCAGACAAAAATGAGGAAAAAATAGACAAACTCATCAATTTGGCTTTACATATTAGGGCAGACCTTCTAGGATTAGCTGACAGTTCGGTTGGGTGAAATCCTTTTCCTGATTACACATTTGGTTTCAGGGATGGCTGAGCACAACCTGATCCCCCAGGCCCTCATTTCACAGGTGTGTAAGAATTTGCTCTCGGCCCCTACAGCTCTGCTGGGTCCTCATTTCCTCACTCTGCCCTCCGGCTTCACCTCTGACCTCCACACAATCAGGAGCAGCGTCTGCAGGCACTCTTGCACCCTACAGGTTACAAGGGTCCTTCCCTTCCATCAGGCTCACACCCACTCTGCCACTCATGACACCTCAGTTGCACTTAGAGCAGGTGGCATTTTCAAACACCTCTGAGGTGCAAAGTTTTGTGTGGAAGTGAGCTTGGCATTGTGTGAGAGACTTGCTTTTTCTTGAATTTAAAAATGGCCAAGTATTTTGCAAAGGAGGGTTTGAGTTCACAGGTTCCACAGATGTGACCTTCAGTCCTTTGATATCTTGGTTCAAAAACATTAAAACAACTAACACGCCTTTACTTCCTCTCATAAATATACATTGGCATCTCTGGGGGAGGTAGTGTATAGAACATGACTTTGGTTCTGGCTATCACTTGCTAACTTTATCACTGGGGCATGTTATGCAAGCTTTACTTAACTCTGATGCTATCTGGCCCTCTGTTGCTTTCTGACTTCATTTCCTACCACTCTCCCCCTTGTTCATTCTGCTCTCAACTCTGACCTTCTTGCTGTTCTTAGAATACAGAAAATTTATTCCTGCCCCAGGGCCTTTGCACTTGTCATCCCTCTGCCACGTAGAATGCTCTTCCCCTACATTGTCTCTATCCACTCCAGCTGTCTTAGTTATCTAGTTATCTAGTGTTGCCATAACAGAAATACCACAAGTGGATGGTTTTAACGAAGAGAAACATTCCTCACAATCAAAGTAGGCTAAAAGTCCAAATTCAGGGTGTCAGCTCCAGGGGAAGGCTTTTTCTCTCTGTTGGCCTTCTCATCAGTGTTCCCCCGGGAAGAGGAGCTTCTCGGCGCAGGGACCCCAGTCCAAAGGACGCGCTCTGCTCCTGGCACTGCTTTCTTGATGGTATGAGGTCCCTCTGTCTCACTGCTCACTTCTGTCTTTTGTATCTCAAGAGATTGCCTCAGGACACAATCCAGTCTAGACTGAGTTCTGTCTCACTAACACAACTGCCACCCATCCTCCCTCATTAACATCATAGAGGCAGGTTTACAACATACAGGAAAATCACACAGTACCAGGAATCATGGCCTAGCCAAATTGATACACACATTTTTTGGGGGACATAATTCAAACCATGACACCAGCCCACTCTTTCTCACCTCCAATACCCCTCCTACACCTCTACCACTGCCTCCTTCTCCTGCCTTTTCATCACAGCACCTGCCACTATCAGACATTATATTGTATGTTTATTTGTTTAGTATCTATTCCTTCCACTAGAATATAAGTTCAATCTTATGTGAGAATCAGTAGACTTGTTCACTGCTGTGTCCCGAGCTCCTAGAATCATGCCTAGCACATGTAGGCACTCAGTAAATCTTTCTGAATGGGCGGACAACCCTCATTTTATAAATTAGAAGACTAGGGCTCAGCCTGGGGGTACCCTGCCCTCGGTCACACAGTGGAGGGCTGGGCTTAGATGTGACCCCAGAGAAAGCATCATTCTGCCATGCTCTACACATCACCCATCTTCCAATGGCTCTAAGCTTCCCCTTAGACTGCATGCCTCTCCAGAGAGAAGTATGGAAGTAGGGCCAACCACGGCTCACCCCTACATTTCATCTGGATGAAGTCCAGCTGGTGGATGGCCTGCAGCAGCGGCTCACTGTCCAAAGTCAGGTCGAACTCCGCAGACACCTTGGGCTCCAGGGCACCTTTCACCCACTGTTCCTGAGATACCTGGACACGCTTGATCAGGGCGTCTGAGATCTTAAAGGAAGCAGAGGGGTTTGGGTTTCGACTTGCAAAGGAGAAATCATGCAGCAGTGATGAAGAAAGGGTAAGGTTTCAACTTTATGGCTTAGGGACAAGAAGGGTCTGTGCTAAACGTGTGCCCTCAGGCACACTTCAGAGAGTAAATACCACCCCTGCCATGTATGACTGTTATAAAACTCATTGTATTGTTTAAATCATATATTTAAAATGTAGTTATATTCAGTGTAAAGAAGCACTTGCTATTGAAGAAATTGGGCTAAACTCTTTTGTAAAACAAATAATGTTTTTTAAATATACAAGAGCATTCTTCATTATATCAGTTTTGTTAGAGCTAGTATTTTACAAAGTGAAATATATTAATAATCTGTCCCAGGGTCTGAAGAAATCATATCCCATATTCCCAGAACTTTGAAATTCCCTCCCCCTAACTTGTTTCCTCTGAGTTGTTCTGGAATCCCTGCTCTAAACTCTCATGGCATCACAACCATAGCTCTGTCGGGTGGTCAGGGGGCAGATTAACCAGTAAGCCCAGTACACACCGGCTTGCATTGAGCAAGGTACACACTGGCTTAATTGTATTTACTTGCTAATCTGTGGTGAGAAATTTCACGTGGGGTTCACCACATCTTTGACGTGGTGGGGGACAGGTGAAATTGTGTACTGCAGTTGGGAGGGAAGACACAACTGGGCCTGTGCCTACCTTGCTTATTGGGTAATCCGGCCCTGGACCACATCTGCTGTCCTGCACTGGGAAGTTCTGCTTACTCAGAAATTTCTTTTTTTTTTTTTTTAATTGTACTTTAGATGAAGGTTTACAGAACAAACTAGTTTCCCATTGAACAGTACACATATTGTTTTTTGTCATTGGTTAACAACCC